TTAAATTATTATTAATTTATTAATTTATTTATTTTTGCAGTACTGGGGATTGAACTCAGGACCTTAGGTTCAATTCTTTTTAAATGCTTTTATATAATGAAAAAGTAAGGAAAATTTCTGGGGAATCAGGATATCTGGGGATAACATTTTCATTCCACTCAATACTTAGTATTTTCAAAATTTCATCAGATATAATTAGTAGATTGCTTCTGTCCCACACGTCAGGTGAAGATCAGTAAAAGTTACATTTTTAAAGCAGGATGGTTTAAATAATGACTTTAAAGAGTGTTCCAGGGAGATTTAAGTACTCCATGAAATCAAATGTTTATTTTCTCTAGAAATTACACAACTTAGTATTAAGCATTTCCTGACAGACTACAAGAATGTCACTTAAATAAATATTAAAGTAATGTTTTTCCTATGGGAAGAAGAGGGCTGAGGTCTATTTGAATTAGTAAGCACTTTAATATTCCGAAACCATTTTAGCTAAAAAGTCTGTGTATTTGTTTTTGTCTTTTGCCTTCTCCTCTTAAGTGAGGAGCGAGGATCCAAAGGTCACCAGGCATTGATACCAATCGATTGCCAAGAGGCATTCGCCAAAGCTGGCACAGGAACCCAGCATTAGGCAACCATACTGTAGCAACCCTACATCTACACACAAGAGGGGTGAAGAGATCAACCATAAATGAAGTACTAAAAGTGCCTAATTTCCAATCAGTGCTTCCAGAAACAATTGAAATGTAGAAACTGTCAAAACAGCTATGGAACCTACAGTCTTGTTGGGAGTGCCCTGAAGGTTACCAATGAAATGGAAGAAGAAATGCATGTGCCCCTGGGGCTGGGTGTCATGGCCACCTGGCATGCTCCAGTGGTAAGTAGCACATGTGTCAGAGCCTCTGTACTCAGTGGGGTCACGGTTCTAGATGAAGAATGATATCCTTCTGTTTCACCAGTTGCATTCAAAGTGGAAATGGCCAATTGCTATTTTGATGAAAGAAGACGCTTCTAACAACGTGCAGGTTGTCTGTCAAATTCTATCTTTGAACAGCTAGTAGTAAATAGTAATTTATTTCAGCAGAACAAGTTCCCATAGGCCTCCTTGTGTACACATCCCTCTGTCTTTGGATTGTTAGGTACACAGTCAGCAGTCCACACACACTGATGCCACGGCTTGAAAGAACGTGTGCCTCCTTCTTTACATAGCTCCACATTCTCCTGTGCTGAGCATCAGCTTAGACAAGCCAAGAGCTGCACATCTCCTTGCTGGTGGAGATCTAGGTTTGAATCACTCCCAAAGCAGAGATGACATCAACTAACAGGCCCCAGTTAGTAACATACTTTAGGGTTCTTTACAAAAAGAAAATGTAGGTGGAACAGTGCTATTAGAGGAACTAAACCATGAAACATTTCTTTTTGTCTGCAGTGGTTTTCTTGACCTACTACACTTTGGGAGATGTGCTATTGATTACCATGTTTCCTTGGGCATGAAGAAACTCCCCTTTGCTGACCCACCCAGGTATCTGGGAACCTTATTCTGCTTTTCCAATGCTGCTTCCTGACAGTTGCCAGAGCAATGCCCTCCACTGAAGCTAGGTATGGGAAGGTATACTGCAGTCGTCTGTTCCTTATCAGAACAAAGTGCAGCAGAGAGGTGCAGCAGCATTAGAATGCAGCAAAGAGGGTAACTTTGGTCACAGTGCTGGATGTTCAAAAGCATGGTGCTGGTATCTGCTCAGCTATGGACAAGGCCTTGAGCCAGAAGGCTGAATTTTCATTGGAGAGTGTTCAACAGGGAGGGGCCATGTCACAAAGCAAGAGATAGAGAGAGGTGAAGGAGTCCTGTTTAGGTTTCTGCAGCAAGTTCGCCTCAGGAGAACTAACTCAGGCCCCATGAGACAGCCTTATCCTTCTTGGGGCAGTACCCGTCAGTGACCTCTTTCTGGGCTCTTGCATCACCACACAGGGAACCAAGCTTCTAGGCATTGTCCACACCAAATCATTGTGTGTGTCCATCCTAAGATGTCCCACATGCCTTCTGCCCAGTCTCCTCCTGGGAGTACAAAGGAATATTGATCACTGGACATGGGTAGAATAGGTGACACCAGGCAGGTTCGTGCACAGTCGTCACTGGTGGTGTATTGTAGTCATAGTGAGATGCACACAAAGTTGCTCAGCAGAATCCCTGCAGTCCCTATCCTCACCTGTGCTGAGCACAGCCCTTGATCTAGGCTGAAGATGCTGCTAATCAACGGGGACCCCACATCCACCCAGACATTAAGGGTAAGCCCAAGAGGGCATACTTCCCAAAGATGTTTCCACAAGTTTCTCTTGGCAACTGCTTCAGGTGCAGAATGCATTTGCCCACTGATTTTCCTGTAACATCAAACTTTCTGTTACACCTACATTTCAGGGTGATGGGCTCTCTCCTTCTCCTCAGGTCCTCTACCTCTTTGCAACAGTCTGCAGTGGTTTTCTTGACTCTGTGAACTTTTCTGCATGTATGCTCAATCTGACTCCTGCCGTAGCTCATAACATGTTCCCTGGCTCTGCTTCACTGACTAATCCCCAGGTGGTATAAATGCCCTCTCATCCTTCTACACATTTGCCTTTGCAATGTGACTTTCTTGCTCCTTCAAAGTATAGAGCTTATTTTTGTTTCCCTAAATTTAGGGTGTCCTTGTGGTTTCTTTAGACAGATTGGGGTGGAACTTATTTTATACACGTGAGTGCTGACCACAAGATGAGTTGTGGATTCTGCACTTACTGTCTGGTATGTGTGAAGTAGCCAGATTAGTCATCTTGAGGGTAAGATACCACACACACGAGAAAAAACAGAGGAGAGAAAGAGCAGATGAAGGAGGGAGGGAAGATGAAAGAGGAGAGTGGAGAGATGTGTTCGTTACTTTTCTCTTGTGGAGACAAATTACCCAATGCCCAAAGCTAAGGGCAGAGAGTTTTACTTAGCTCACAGTTGGTAAAGGTTTCAGTTCACAATCAGCTGGTTCCAAGGGAGGGTGACACAGGGCAGAGGATCAAGAGTTGATGGTAGGGGAGGATGTCAAAAGCAACAAGGGAGAGTGAGGAGGGACAGGCCTTCTTCTGTCCCTTATTCTGCGTGCAGGCTACCTGCCTTAGGGTGAGTGTAGCACTCACACCCTTAGTCCCGGCATTAGACCCTGAATGAGTCACAAGCTCTACATTTAGCCACCTTTCAGGCTTTGGAGGGCTGTTTAGACACAAATCATAATAAAAGGGAAACAAGAGAAAGAAAGACAGAGAGACAAAGAAAGAGAACTGCTAGCAGAAACTGGTTCCCCATAGTAGAGAAAGATGGAAAATTTTGAAAAAACTACCATCTGTGGTAACATTACGCACAAAAGACTTATGAATTTGGGTAAAAGGAACTCCAGACAGAATGTGAACTTACCAGTGCTTTTCATGAATGCTTAAGCTGTGTGTAAAAAAAGAATAAAGAATGTAGAAACAACCCAGATATATTTGACCACTAGATCTTTGACAAAGGGGCCAAAAACATATGGCAAGAAAAGATAGTCTCCTAATAAATGGTTCTGGGAACACTGGCTATTGACCTGCAGAACTTTGAAATGATTCATAACTCTCACCGTGTACTAAACTAAAATCAAAATGGTTTAAATATCTAAATATTAAAACAAAAACATGTAACATGCTGCAAGATAAAATTCTTGAATTCATAAGCACAGGCAAGAGCTTTATAAACAGAACACCAGTTGCACAAAAAATAACTTCAAAATCAAGTGAGACCATATCAAATTAAAACTTCTACACAATGAAGAAGATAACCAAAACATTGAAGAGACAACCTACAAAAAGTACAAAAAGAAAAAAAAATACAAAGTATACCTTAGGCAAAGAACTAATATCTAGAACATATAAAGAACACAAACATTAGCTTTCTGCAAACAAAAGACAATCGAAAAATGGGCAACTGAAATGAATTGACACTTCTTGGTAGAAGTAGCACAAATGGCCAATAAATAAATGAAAAACTGCTCAGCATCTCTGTTCATGAGAAATGCAAACTGAAACAAGATCGAGATGCTCTCTATTCCAGAAGAGCCGTCACCAAGAAATAACATAATAGGCCAGTGAGATATCTCAGCAGACTAAAGCGCCTGCTTAGGCAATCGCAAGGACCATAGTTCAATCTCTGCCACCACATGCCATGCTGGCCCCACCCCGAGGCACACTGAGCTGGCCACCAAGACCAGGTGTGGTGGTACATGCCTGTAATCCCAGCGCTGGGGAGGCTAAAGACAGGAGGATCACTACGAGGCTGAGCTGTATGGTGAGACCCTGTAAAAAACAAACATATTTTTAGAAAGAAAAAGAAATCAAATAACAAATGCCAGTGAATCTCGGGGGCACCCTTTCATATTGTTGGTAGAATACAAACCAGAACACCCTGTGTAGAAGTCAGTATGAAGGTGCCACAAAATAACAAATCTGGAAGTTCCATTCGACCCAGCTATTCCCTTCTAGATAGCTTCCTTTAATGATTAAAGACACCATATTACACACACACACACACACACACACACACTTTTACAGCAGCACAACTCATAATTGCTAAATCTTTAAAAATGGCCTCTATGTCCATTAACAGATGAATGGATAAAGAAAATGTGTTTTTAACACAAGGAAGTACTATGCTGCCATAATGAAGGATAAACTTGAGTTATGTGTAGGAAGATGGATGCACTTTCAAACCATAATGTTACATAAAGTAAATCAAGCACACACGTTTAATGTTATGCACCTACCTGGTCCTCAACCTTCTACGAACAGACAGCAGTTTAAAAGACTGCCTCAGCTACAAACATGGACAATTTCTTAACACAAGAAAGCAGTTCAATGAGCAGAGCCAAGACCCTCTGGTGGAAACAAGGAAAGAGAACAGCAGCCTAAGGCACAGCTTGAAATGAATATATCTGATCCCTAATCCAAAAGCTGCCCTGCACCTTGGACAACAGATCTGAGAACAGCCCATGCCCCATTCGATGAGCGCCTCATTCCTCAGCCTCCCTGGTGCTGGGATTACAGGCTAAAGATTTTTATTGAAATGTAAGACAGAGAACCAGCAGCAGAGGTGCTGCTTCTACAGCAGGAGCTTCCCTCTTGACAAAACACAGCACCAGTAACCTGTGAGGAAGGCTACTCATCCTACAGGGCATCATGCTGAATGGATCAGAATTAGCAAAACAATGTCCTCACATTTTATTTGCTTTCTTTTTTTTTTTTTTTACTCGTTTATCTATTTAGTGCAGGGTCTCGCTGTGCAGCTCAGACTTACAGTGATCCTCCTGTCTCAGCCTCCCCAGTGCTGGGATTACAGGCGCATGCCACCATGCTAGGTTTATTTATCTATTTACTTACTTACTTACTTACTTACTTACTTACTTACTTACTTACTTATTTAGTGGTACCAGGGGGTGAACTCAGGACAACTCCAAGGGATGCCGCCTTCTCTCTGACAAGTGAAGCTGACTGGACCAAGGAGTCACCAGAAGCCACACCACTTCTGGTGTTTCTGCGAGGTTGTTTCCAGGTATGATTAGCATCATGTAAGTAAATTTAGTAAAGTAAGTTGCATTCTGCAATGCAGGAGGGCCTTGCTCAGTCTTTTGAAGGTATAACAAAAGCAAAAGCGTAGAAAAGAGGAAGTCGCCCTTTCCTCTTCTTCCCTTCTGCTGAGCCTAGGACATTTTATATCCTCTCCCTGGTTCCTCAGACTGAGATTTCCTCACTGACTTTTTCTGTTCTCAGTAGTAACTCCCAGGCTTTCCTGGGTCTCCAGCTTGCAGAGAATGAGAGCTCTCAGTTTCTATAACACATGAGCCAATCGCCCCAATGAATCTATTTATATATGAGGTGAGATGTAAAAGTACAGTAAATGCTTGAATTAAAAATAATTTATGACAGTAAAAGACATATTTCTACTGGTCCTGCTCAAAATATCCCCCCTCACTTAGAAGATACTTATTCTGTCACTCTTGCTACTCTTTGAAACTGTTCTGGAAAGCCTCTTTCATGAGTATCATTCATTGCATAGTTCTGGAAACTTTGATTTCCTGCACAGATTCAGAACATTGACCTTTCATGGTCATTTCGAACTTAGGGAAGAGCCAGAAGTTCCAGATCCAGGGAATAAAGTAGACAAAGACTCATGGTCGTGCTTTTGGAAGTCTTCCTTCCATTGAAATGGTGCTCAGCAGTGTCCACCATATTTTTAACATGTCTCCTAAAGACACTAATGAAGAAGGACTGCAAAAACAGTTGCAGAAAGTGGTAAGAGTCATAGCATCAGTATGTTCAAGGTGAGGCAGAGGATTTTGAGGGAGATTGTTGGCAATATGTCTCTTATTGTAAAACCTTTTTAAATTTAAGCATTCACCATGCATTGGATTACCCTATATATAACATATAACATATATGATATTTTATATGCATATCATGTGTTTTATGTTAGTAATAATATGTATGTATATGGTAACATATAACATGTTATGTATAGATTATATACACACACCTTGTGTGCACACATTGTGTTTCTGTAGAAAACCCTGATGAACACATGTGTCAGGTATCCATGAGCCTCTTGTGCATGAAAATGTCCATAACATACAGGGCATTGGTCAGAAGGAATAGAAAGGTTTCCTAGGTTACTTTCTGGACCAGCTTATAAAGAAGTGTTAGTCTCACAGAATCCAGAGTGGGCCAGTTTATCAATAATCTTATAAGCTTTTCTGATAAAGGGAGAATAAAAACAGTGCTGAGGAAGCCCTTATCTAATCAAATAAGTATTAAACACCCTGTGAATAATTAACCTTAATAGTATATGGAAGCTTATGGAGATGAAAGTGTGCTGCATGGCTAAAGCATAGGACCAATGTGACTGAGCTGCAATTTTGAATTTATTAAATAGAAGCTAAAGGCCAGCAGTATAGTTCAGTGGACTAAACGCTTGCTTAGGTAAGCACAGGGGCCAGGGTTCGATCCTTGGCACCGCATCCTGTGCCACCCCTTGGGCTCATTGAGCTGGCGATGGAATCCTGGCATGGTGGTGCACACCTGTAATCCCAGCACTGAGGAGGCAGAAATCAGGAGAATCACTGTGAGTCCGAGCTGCACAGTGAGACCCTGAACAACAACAAAAAAAACAAACAAACAAGCAAACAAAAAACCACTTAAAAAAAAAAGAGAAGTTAAAATACACTCCCTCTTGCGGGACTGTCCTGCAACAATGTTGTATATGGTTAGATTTCTGGACTTATATGGAAACATATATAATTCTTTATTCCTATTCTTTAAATATATTTTAATTAAAAAATAAAATAAAATTAAATACACTCCCTCATGAGTTGTTTTGATTGTTATTTTATGCAAGAGCAGTTAGCATAACTGTAACATATGCACGGCACAATATTAATGAGGGTAGCAGTGCCCACATTCCCATCATTGACCTTACTATGTGCACCATGCACAGCATTTATACAAAACCAACCACACCCAGTTTTTCCTGGGTTGTTTTTAACTTGCTCGTCTCCAAGGGTAGCAAAGGCTGACTTCTGAAAGGTGTTACTGCGCACACCTCATCATCAGTCAATGAGGTGCATTCCCACATAAGCTCTTTCATTTTCCAACTCATTTTACCTCTAAACTTTAACAGCTCCTTGGGGAGACACGTTCGCAGCATGAGAGCAGCATAGAGCATGGAAGTCATGGAACAGAACGTGAATGCCAGGGCCAGAGCTGGGACTTCCCAAGGCTTGCACACAATGTGAACTTTATGACTATAGCAAAACCAAAGTATCCTTGAGAAGTATTAATATGCAGACACCCTCGGGACCTGCCTTGAATTGAAACCTACTTGTTCAGTAGAGTATGGGAGTGGAAATGTGCAACAGTCTATCTCCATGTTTACTTCTTGTGTGCTGTGGCTTGAATCTGATTGGAATGTGTCCCCAAAGGGTCAGGTGCTGCAGTCCCCACTCTGGTCATGTGGAATGATGCTGGGACCTTCAAGAAGGAGGGCCCTGTAGGAGGAGGTGAGGTCTTTGAGGAAGTCAGGTCTTGGGAAGGACTCAGGGAGCTCTCATGCAACTCCTGAGCTCCTACAAGAGACAGGTACAGGCAAGCCCAGCACTGCATCACCTCATGGCTTCTGATCTCTTGCCACCACCATGATGCCACCTGCCATTACACCCCCACCAGAGGCCAGACAAATGTGACTGATCTTAGAAATTCACTTTCACATTAGTGAGCTAAATGAGGCTTTTTAAAAATAATGTCATACACTTCACATACCAGAAGCTGGTTTGATGCACTGCAGCACCACCAGAGGAGAAGGAGAAGTGAAAGACGGAATAGCAAAGTGTTTGTCACACACACAGATAACGGGACCAGGCTCGTCCCTTCTCAGCATCTCCCGTGATCATCCTTAACTTCACAAACTGTCTCCAATATTCTAGCTAACTATCTTAAACTCATTTAAAGAATATCAAAAATATTTTCCCAGACATAGAAATGATACAATGAACAAGGATCTAGTTCCTTAAACCTTAGCACTTGGGCTTTACAGTTTTGAAAAGTGTTGCAAAATTTCAAAACCAGGTGTAAATTTATGAATATCTTTCCAGAAAGGAAGAAGATACAAAGAACACACATGATTTTAGGGTGCTCTGTGTGTTCTCCTCTCAATTCTTTTGAAACTGTAGCAAACATAAACTGAAAATAGCAAAGTATAAAAATACCGTCTCAGCCATACTTGCTTCAAAAAATAATGCATTTAATGTATGAGTTCAAAGTGCCTTTCTTTATTTAAAGAAAATGTCAAATATCAGAGTAACTTAAGGATCAGCTGGTAAACAATGTATAACAAATTACATCAGTAACTAGTTAAAAGCCTTGTAAAAATAACTTATGCTGTCTCTTCATGTGATGGGTTTAATTATGAACCTCTGAAACACTGAAATGTTGATTAACAAAGACATTCTTTAAAAAGAATGAAATAATCTTCTCTGAACTCCACCCCCAAATTAACTTTTTGTTTAGAGTGAAAGGTTAAAGACATGACCAGATACTTTTCATGAGTTCAGAGGAAGGTCACAACCTCAAGACCTTCAATAATCTCATAATGTTTGACCCAGAAGGTTCTTCCTAAATCATCTTATGTTCCTAAATGCAAGAAAAGGAATCACCCACAGACTTAAATCCTTGGCTTTGCATCAAGAAGAGAAAATTAAATAATTTCATAAATTCTACTTTGAGTTACTTTTTTCAATAAAAGGGAATCTTATTGAGAAGGAATAAAAAAAGTCTTGACTGGTGGAGAAAAAACCAAATAACATATATTAGTGCATTAAATAGAACTAAATACATATTGGGATTAATTTATGGTGTATCTAAAAATAATTGTACAATTCTTTTATTCTTTTGTAATTTTTCCTATTATAATTGGGTAAAAGGAGAGAACATTAGTCTACAAGAACAAATGAGATTCCACTGGTGCACTGGGCCAGTGACACACACTCAGGCCAGAAATGTGTGAATAAATGTATGCAGAAGAACAGGATTTGAGAGAGACAAAAAGGAGAGAAGGAAAGCCCTGAGTGGACATACAATGGATGGAAATAGCCATTTTCATACTTCTTACTTTTCAAATTAAAACTACTATTAGTTTGCTTTACTGAAGATCACAATAATATATAGTGAAATAAGAATTATAAATAATAAGAATTATATAAGAGTTCAAACTCAGAAAGTTTAGACACGAAAGAGATTTTAACTTGTATCTCCAGTTCCAACCATAATACCTGATACATAATAGGCTATCGGTAGATAAACATTAAGTAGATCAATTATCAGAGGAAAACACTGCAATATTTTTCAGTATGTAGAAATTTTTCATATAAAGAGATACAGAAAATCAAACGAGGCTTGAAAAGGTTTTCATACAGAGACCTTTCAAAAACA